TCCACCTCCAGGCCTTATCTTCTTTTTCAGTTCCCTGTGGGTCCAGGAGTGGCTGGGTATCTTTCTCAGATCTTTAGTTTCAGGTTGACATATTTCTCTTCCACTATTACACACTGTGGGCTTCTACTCACAGAAGTCCTGGGAAAGCCCTGCATGAACTGGCTTCTCTATTCAGAGGGGCAGTCAATCAGCTTCTTCTCGGTGACTGATCAACCCATACGACCACATCGTTTACTCATTTCTTTGGAGCCCTCATTCATTCAGTCATGGATGGTAAGTGGTTATGCTAGGGCAAGCCCAGGGTGTTAGGATAAAAACAGCTACATTTGTAGCTTATTACATGCATGCCCTCTGCTAAGTGCTTTGCCCATATGAACTCATTCATCTTCACATCAGACCTCCTATCCCCACTTCAGAAATGGGGAAACTGAGGCCCAGAGGGTGTAACTAACTTGCTCCCAGGTCACTCAGCGGGGACAGGCGATGTGGGGATTCTATCACAGGCGGTGAGGTTCTGGAACTTCTAATGGGAGCACCCAGTGGGGACACCTGACTTGGGAGGATCAGAGAAGGTTTCCCAAAGCAGCTGAGACTCAAGGATGAAGAGTTAGCCAGGGAAGGTGTGATAATGATGTGCCAGGCAAGATTCTAGGAGGGAAACAACGAAGCCAGAGAGACTACCCAGCCCTGGTTCTGCATTTGTTAAATCTTATCTTGAACAGAAAAAATATTTACCTTCCTTGCTAAGACTTTGCTCCTGTTTATGTTTGGGTATCTCGTCTATTTAATGTGGGTAAAAGCTTTCGCATTCTTCTCCTTCGTCATAACAGCCAATTTCAAAGCTTAATTGGTTTCTGCAAGTTTGTTCCCATCCCTTAGACTGTAGATTGGAGTCTGGAGTACACGATTCTTCCTCTCCCACAGGACCTAGCACAGTGCCTTAATATGTATTTGAATTTAAAAAGCGAGAGAACGATTTAGCCTTGGAAAATAGAACAGCTACACCTAAAAGTACCCATTGCCTTATCCTTGATCTCTGAAATAATGGGCTATTTTACTCTCATAGAATGTAAAATTATACTTATAATGGGCTTTTATGAATTTATTATGAACCTTTTTTCATCCCTCAAATCAAATATATATATATATTTCTTTTCTCTCTTTTTCAATTTGATAACAACTAGAAAAACATCTTCAGGAATAAAAGGGCTCACAGTTCTTACCAAACATTCAGAGGGTGCATTTTGAACGACCTAAGCTACTTACCTAGGGGGAAATGGCCTATAAACCCCTGCACTTGCTGTGGTCCTTAACTCTGCCCACATTTCAGAATACCTAGCTTTTAAAATCGTATCCATGGCCGGGCACCAAGAGATTCTGATTTAATTAGTCTGAGAGGGGGTCTGGGTGTTAACTTTTTTTTAGGCTCTCCACATGATGCAACTCTGCCACCATCATGGTGAACCCTGGAACAGAGCAGTATCACTTTGTACCAGGATCTGAGTAAAATGACACAGATTGTTTGCAAGGGTGGGCCAGCATGGAGGCAGAGCACTTTCCTGACAATGCTCTCTCAGGGGTCCCTTGACATCTCCCAGCACTGCGGGAGGACCCAGCGCACTGGGGTCAGAGGGGAGAGGTAGGAAATGCTTGTGGACAGACGGACGGACGCACTCTGGCCCTCACAGGACTTCACCCACAGCCTCCCAACCACAGGCGACAAAATGATGTGGTTTTCATTACATAGCTGCAAGCAAGGGCCTTCGTATTCAGTGGTCAAAAAGAAGAAAGAGAAAACGACTATTTTCAGCATTAGCGGTGAGGAAGGGATGATCTTCTCCCTCTATTCCAGACAGGAAGAGAAAGTTATCTGGTTCCCAGGGGAGAGCTGGGGGTTGGGGCAGCAGCCACTGTGCTGGAGGGGAAGCGAGAGAGGCTCCTGCCAAGTTGGCCAGGAGCAACCTCATGCCATTCTTGGGTGTTCTCCCCAGGCTGGAGAAAAGTGGTTCAATATGCAAAAGGGGGACATTGTCCTTCACACCAGGCCTGTGTGCAGCTAGGGACGACCCACAGGGTCTGAGCCTGGCATCTGTGTGAATGCCCACAGAAACCGTAGACACAATTTGAGCCTGTGTGTTTTTCTAAGGAAAGGGGTTCCTGTTTTTCATCAGCTTCCTAACGATTAAGGATGACAACTGGCCCTGAGCAACTTCCGCTGTAAGCTGCACACCTATTTGTCACCCACACACCCTGCCCTGTCAGATTTGTGCAACTGAAGGTAGCAGGGCTGAGCCACAGCAAGTTACGGAAGTAGATGACATTCATCCTCTGTGCTCAGACTCAGGAGTATCGCTTCCCCACATTCAGATGGCCTGAGCACAGCTAACTGTCACCAGATTTGTCCTTCACCCCAATTCGGGGCTTCCCCTCCCTGTGCAAGCACAGGGACTCCCTTGGTTTTCCTACATCTCTGTTCTTTCCTTTTGGCTTATACTCCTAGACCCAAATCCATTGTTCTCTGTCACTACCCAGGTCCATCCTCGTACCCTTTGCCCTCAAAGGTGAAGTAACCATGATGTCAGTTTTCGGAGGTCCTCCCCCGCCTTCGGGCTCCTAGTCAGCACAGAGACTTGTCGCCCTCAGGATTCTGGGCTGAACGTCTAAGGTCACGGACAGTGTCAGTTCAGAGCTGAACTCTACTTAGGTATGCCAGTCAGCTTTTCCTCCCTGCAGGCAGAGTCCAGGCCGTGGACTTCATTGTCTGTTAGGCAATACATGTTTCAGAAAACCCACAAGAAGGATACACTGTTTTAGAGAAAACATTAGCACTGACTTTGATTCTACACTACAACAAAAATAAGAGACAACTACCTAATTAGTTTTAGATGTGGGAAAACAGAAATCCTAATTACTTTCATTTATATACCAATTTAAAAAAAACATTTATATAAGCAATTTATTATGTGTGCCCAATTCCCAGGTGGCACAATAATGGTGCGTGGATCATTAAGTAGGTTAGTTTCCTTTCATTTCAAAGCTGAACTCTGCTCAGGCATGTCAGTCAGTCTTGAAAGTTTGCTGATCCCGTGGCTGGGCTGTCTGTTTGCAATTTGGGGGTTTGGAGGGCCATTAGAGGAGACTGTTGGCCTAGACATGGAAGCCAGGGAGAGGAGATGCGCCTGCTAGGCCAGGACCCTCTGCATCCTTCATGACCAACTGTGTGACCTTAGGTAAGCCAGTTTGCCTCTCTGGGCTTCCTCCCCTCCTTCCTAGAGCAGGGAACACTGGGGATTGGTTTTCACATTTTTTTCTTTAAACAGTAACTCTGTCCTTTCTCCCCAAATGAAACATACATGGAACTCCAAAATGTAAAGCAACTGAAAGAAAAACTGCCTAAGGGGGCTTCTGAGGTATCTTCACAGAACCCTGGGGCTCCTGGAGGCAGGACTGCCAAGCACCCCCATGCAATTCTCACAGCTTTGCAGGGAGGGCCCCAAATAACACCATGTCATGGAAGATGGCATCTCAGGAGCATTGATAGTGTACCTGGATAGTAACCAGAAGGCCCCTGCGAAATCGGGTGGAGGGAACATTCATTCTGAATTCCTGAGGGCAGTGGTTAAGATGTATACTTGAGTGCTCACACCTTCAAAAAACCCTCAATCCCAGCCATGGGATTTCAAATGTACCTCTCCAGATTGTTGGAACGGATGACACGAATCGACTCAGTTATGCCTCACTTTCAAAAGAGGCAGTTTTGAAACCTATGGTGCCCCAGCTCTAAAATACTGAGCCATTTGTCCTAATGACATAGCAGGCTCTGAACTCGAGAATACCGCAGGAATATCACACCACTGCAAATTACTAGGTGCTGCTCCGTCTCTAAAACACCGGAATTAAAACAAAAGCCTTGCACTGTCTTTGATCTGCACATCTGATATGAGCTAATCACATCATTCTTTGAGATTATTTTCCTGGAGGCAGAATTCCGCACAGTTAAGCAGCCCTTCAGTTGCCCCTTTTGTTGTATCTATGTGTAAGCACACGGCCCATAGAGTGGACGGTTTCCTCTCTCCCTGAAGCTTCTGAAGAAAGGCCTTTTTATCACGGGTAAACGCTGGGCCAGTCAACCTTACAAAAGGAGTCATTTAATGCTCAATTTCCCCAACTTTCCTATGATTAAAAACTTCTAATCTCAAATGCTGGTGTTGTATTTTAGATTATTTTCTTTCCCCCTCCCCTGCCAAATATTTAAATTGTCTCTACTCTGCAGGATTCCCTCTACTTTTTCCCCTGCAATCTGACCTTGAAAACAGAGACCCTCTCCTTTTCTTTGACATGCCCTAAGCTATTTTAAAATCGAGGCCCTCTGACCTTTTTACAACACTCTTCTTGTCTGACACACCTAATGCTGATCCGAAAGCCAAGAGGAGGTAAAGGGGCTGGGGGGCTGGGAAGGAGAGGGAGGGAGGTACTACGTATCTGGCATCAGTTCAGAAATTCAGAAAATGTTTGTGCAACCACTCCCCCAGCCAGGATCCACCGCACCCCCTTGCCTTCCAGCACATTAATAAAAAAAGATGTGAGCGATGAAATTGGAGAGCCCGGGAGGGACACCCAAGGTGGTCATAACTGTGGTCGTAACTGATCCCCATCCCACACGCCCAGCCCGCATCCCTCCTCTCCCGTATCCAAAGTTTGAGATCAAGGTCTCTGGAGTTCCCAGCCCTACCCCCCAGAAGTACCCGGCGAAACGGGGGCAGCACCGCCCAGTAACGGCTTCTGTGAGACCGACGGAAGGACTGACACCACCTCTGCGCGTTGGGGTGGCAGCGCTGTGCACCTTAAGAATCGTATTGTTCTTTTTTTTTTTTTTTAAGTAAAATGAGCACGCAGGCCTGGAATACATTAACTTGTGAATTGAATCGAACACACCCCAGGAGAGTCCATCTCTCCCTCAAACAAAAAGAAGGAGGGAAAAAAAGGCGAAGGCACATTACCATCTTGTCCTGAGCTTTCCAGATACTCCGTCAGGTCGCAGCCAAAGGCGCCGGTGGCTCCCTTTCGTTTCAGCTTCTGCTTGGCACCCTTGTTCTTCATGAGTTAGTCCCCAAGAGGTTGCCCCTCCGTGCTCCCCTCCCCGCTGCTTGGCACCGCGCCGGAGATGGTCTCCGGGGCTAGATCACCGGCTGCCGCGCGGCTTGGGGGGCCGCATGGGCGT